CCCATCCATGCATACATCCATCCATCCATCCATCCATCCATCCATCACATAAAACACAGAAACTGTCAGTCTGTACAGTAATTCATTCATCTGCCAATCATTTTCACATTAAATGGTTTCTTGCCAGCACAAATAGCAGCAGTAGCAGCTAGCTGTAGCACTTCTGGTGCAGCCTGGGGTCCCTATGAACAAGAGAATCCGGTCATTTCTGTGGTCATAATCATGTGTGGGTGCAACTGTCTCTGTTGAGGATTTTTTTTTTAATTTTCATTTCTGATTTTATAAACTGAAGCAGACTCCAGAAGCACTTTGTTCCTGCAGGAGAAAAGCCAGAGTTTGTGGCAAATTGTTAAAAGTCAACGTCCGGCTCCAAAAGAGCCTCCTAATAGTCCATTTCCTCTGAGGGCACAGGAGGCCATTTACAAGAGGCAGCGGCAGAGCTGGGTGAGCGACCTCAGTCCTTTCAGCCAATGATTAGACAACAACACACACCTTCCCTCATGTGTGCCACCGTCAATAAAGAGATGATTGATGAGACGGCTGAAACCACTGAACCATTATGATAAACGATGACACAGGCTAAGGTGTGAGGTCATGTTTTTTTATTCACTTTACAGTCACCTTTAAAATGAGCTGGTTCTAGACCTGCAAGGATCTGAGTTACGAGTTGTTGGAAGGATGGAAAAAGGCTCAGGCAGACTGTTTTATGTGTGTTTGCTGCACGGTAATGGCCCTGAGTTCCTAAAAAGCAGTCGCCAAGTGACTTTTCTCACCCACCTGCAGAAAGGCTTTTAATGAGTTGAACAACCTCTCTTCCTGTTTCAGCTGAACAGGAACAAAGAAATATGAAGGATGAAGAGTAAAAGAGTCAATTCAAAGGAAGAAGATTCAACTTAACGTTTCTATTAAAGGGCCAATATTGTGTTTCTCAGGCATATATTTAAATACTATACCAAAAGTATCTATGTCACCTTTAGCTGTTTTTAAAATTGCTGTTTTTATGTTTAAATAGAAAATAAACTTGTCTTCTCATCACTTCCTCTTCTAAATGCCTTGAAATTGGCCTCTGTCTCTTTAAGAACCTTGAGGTGTAAAAACCACGTCTTCTAGGTTCTGCAAAACTGCTACTGCTCCTGAAGAGAGAAACTCTGAAACAGGCTGGTTGAACAGCAAGAATCTTTATTTTGCAGTCCAGATTTACAGCCAAAAAACCAAATTGTGGTCTTCTAAGCCAAATGAATCAACAGCAAAAAGATGAAGACGAAGGCGAAGAGTAGGGGCGTATAAGCCTTTTTATAGGTTTCACAGTGCAGTCCAACAGATGTACCATAAATTTTGTCACGGTATACCTTAAACATTCCTTTCCTAATATGGTAATGTGCCGAGCTCTGAAGCTGGGGTCTAAGAGAGAGACATGGTACATCTGCGCATTCCTGAGAAGAGGCCCCCACTTTTAGACACTACAACCTCCTTCCGCTTTGCCCATTTCAGTGAGGGGGGCTGCCATGATGCAGTTTACTTGGCATCTGAAAATACATTTCCTCAAAGGTATTTTTAATCTGAAAAGAGCTTCGCTGAGTGAGAAGTAATGTTGAGAGCTCAGCAGACAGTTAGGTTTCACTTTCACTTTCACTCCAGAGCCTGCAGGAGTCATGGGCGGAGGGGGTGCTCCGCCATGAGGAAGTTCGGCTTAAAGACACGTCCCAGGGCCGTTTCTGGTCCCCACCTGTCGTTTTGCTCCTCAGCATGGCTTCCTAAAAACGCTGCAGGATTTCTCAAACATGCCTGGATGAGTCAAAGCAAGGCTTTGGGCATGTTTTTTATGAGAGTATAACATTATAACATGATATAAAACTCAAAAAAGTTCATTTTAAATGATATTGCCCCTTTAATAAAACTTAATTTCATGAGAATTTATGAAAAAAGAAAAAAATTGTATAGGTCCTCTGGACGGGTTCTTCTCTAATGAAACGTTTCGTCTCTCCTCCAAGAGACTTCTTCAGTCTGAGAGTTTCAGRCAAAATTCAGGCTTTTAAGCACTGCCTCCATGTGATTGATACTCACATCACATGGCTATCGTTGACACCTAATTAACACTTATTGTTAACAGGGGGTGGAGTGATACTGGCAATAGCCGCGCTGTAGGAGGGGGACAACTGAAAGCGGAGGCCTCCACCTCTGTTTAATGATGGACAGTTTTTCTTCACAAAAATGGCTTCTTTTACTCCTCTCTCAAACCAACGTTCCTCTCTATCAAGAATGAGAACATCCTCATCTCTGAAAGAGTGACCGCTGGCCTGTAAATGAGTGAAAACTGCAGAGTTCTGGCCATTAGATGTAGCTCGTCTGTGTTGGGACATTCTTTTGAACAGTGGCTGCTTTGTTTCCCCGATGTATAACTGGTCGCAGTCCTCCTGGCACTTAACAGCATATACAACATCGGGGAAACAAAGCAGCCACTGTTCAAAAGAATGTCCCAACACAGACGAGCTACATCTAATGGCCAGAACTCTGCAGTTTTCACTCATTTACAGGCCAGCGGTCACTCTTTCAGAGATGAGGATGTTCTCATTCTTGATAGAGAGGAACGTTGGTTTGAGAGAGGAGTAAAAGAAGCCATTTTTGTGAAGAAAGACCGTCCATCATTAAACAGAGGTGGAGGCCTCTGTTTTCAGTTGTCCCCCTCCAACAGCGCGGCTATTGCCAGTATCACTCCACCCGCTGTTAACAATAAGTATTAATTAGGTGTCAACGATAGCCATGTGATGTGAGTATCAGTCACATGGAGGCAGGGTTTAAAAGCCTGAATTTTGCCTGAAACTCTCAGACTGAAGAAGTCTCTTGGAGGAGAGACGAAACGTTTCATTAGAGAAGAACCCGTTCAGAAGACCTATACATTTTTTTCTTTTTGATTTTTTACCTGGATTACTGTGATGCATCAGGACATGAGAATTTATGCTTTTATTCATAGCTGTTCACTTTCTCACTTATATCCAGGGATAATTCAGTTAGCAGTTATGCTAACATGCATGTATTTGAACAGTGGGAGGAAACCTGGACACGTGTGAACACTCCACACAGACAGGAAAATTTGTGACCTTTACATTGAGTCAACACCTCTAACCACTGCACCACCTTTATCATCCTTATTTTCCATTAACATGCAATAAATCCTCTAATGAGCAGTTATCAGAAACAATATTGTCTTTGTTTTTAAACCAACCCAGAAAGGCTGCAGCCCTTTGTTCCCACATGTGAAAACCTGGCCCCCGAGTCCCGACCTTTTAGATTTCAGCATCAGTCAGTCATCGTTAGCTGACCCAGACACCATTCCTCCATTCTAATCACTCCCACTCCTCTCTGAACTTTAATGTCCACCATTAACAAAATGTCCAAGCCCGGCGGTTTGCAGGAGTTAATTTACTTTCCCACCAAATAAACAGAGGCTCAACCCCAGAGGGAGCTTTAATAAAGGAGAATTAGGGTTTAAAACACTCAGCACTTCCTCAACCTTTAAACTTCAGAGCACGATCCAGAGAGGAGCAATGACAGACATACATCAAGTTGTTTCCTCCTGTCTTTAGGTAACAACGAGAGAGGTTTAATCTTCCTAAGTAACAACATGTTGAGGCCGCAGTGTTTCATATTTTATATGAGTAATAAATTAGTCTGGTGCACTTCGCCGTGATCAGATCTGATGGACCGGAGCGTGTGGGCTCGCCCAAGTTACAAAAACAGCACGAGAAAAGAAAACAGCCGAAGAAAAAAGAAAGAGAGGGAGGTATTTAAGCACATCCAGGAGGAGGTCAGCTTCAAGACTCAGCCGTTTTTCGTTGCCCACACACACCAACCCACATGCTGCACATCATTAAAAACAAAAGGGCACGACTGAAAACAATGCAGCAATGATGCAACCAGCAGAGACGGAGCTCTTCTTCTGAGTGAGAAACTCAGCAGAGCTTTTTCTGCAAGTTTTTAATCACGTCTCCTCCAAGGTTCTCTTCATTCAGAAAAGTGTTGCAGCTGCTTGAAGAAAACAAAATTAAATCTGATTTTTAAAACGCATTTAACACATAAGGATTAATACAACCTGGATATCAGCAGTTAATATCTTACCTGCTGCAGATATATATGTGAGTTTAAATCAGACTGTTTTGATGAGTGAAGTCAAGACCAAAGTGCATCTAGTCTACCTTTAAAGGGGACATTTCATGCAAAATCAACTTTTTTAGCCGCTAAATTCATTTTGTGTGTTTTCTAAACTATTATGTCACAGTTGACAGTATTCCACAGTACAAGTCTTCCCTTGTTGATGTCTTTTAATTAATTTGTAAAAAAAAGTTTATGTGCCACTATACAGCCATAAACCCCTCTATCAAACTAGAATGGACCGGTTTGGAAGCTGGAGGGGGCGGGGCATGTAATAATGTTAATGATGTAAAGGCTTAAGGTTCCACAGAACCATAAAGGATCTGAATAATCAATTTAAAGGAAAAACATGCTTTAAAATCCTTCTTTTTTTCACATTTAAGTCCTTCAGTTGGGCTCTACATAAAGTGGAACTGCAATGATTTGGTTTGAATTCCTCCTTATTGTAACTCCACAAGCCCCGCCCCTGTTGTGAAGTGAGTCTCAGATCAGTTTGTTTTGAGGCTATTTCTTTAAAAGAGGCACTTCACACCCCGTACCTCCTTAAATCAGAGACTAAAATTGAATTTTCGGCCCTCCTTGAGACTCCAAGTACACAACAAAATACATTTAACACCTAAAAAAGCAGGTTTTGAATGATATGTATTTAAAAAAAATTCAGTGCTTCTCATAGGGCTTAATCATTATGTAACTATAAAGAATTTATTAAGAAATTACAAAAAAGCAACATGAAAACGGTGCATTATCTATCAAAAATTTTTTAATTCGATATCAGCATTTAGGAAAAAGGTGTAAAATACACACTTTCTCCGTTATGTGAATGTTTTAATGTGATTTCCTGCCAAGCTGACCGTCAGTTAAAGATGCAACTTGTTGATGTTTCAGAGCCTCCGGGCCGTTACACGTCACCTCCTCCAGGAAGAGGACGTTTTCAGGATGGCTGCGGAGCCACTTCCTCAGATGCTCCATCCTCCCGTCACACTCCCAGGGGTTCCCCGACAACGCTATCTGAAGGGAGGGATTTATCCCATGCAGCAGACCCGCCGGGAGGTCGAGCAGATGGTTCCGATCGAGCAGCACGAGTTCAAGGTGCCGCAGGCCGTGCAGGAGGCCCGCCGACAGGTTCCGGAGCCGATTCTCCTGCAGGTACAGGTGCTTCAGTTGGAGGTTGTGGGCAAACGTTTGGGGTTTCAGGGAGGTCAGTTTGTTCCCGGCGAGGCTCAGCGTCTCCAGTCGGCGCAGGCCCTTAAACGTGTCGCCCGGCAGCTCTCGCAGGTCGTTGTCGTCCAGGTCCAGAGCCACAAGGCGAGGCAGCTTCTGGAGCAGAGCGGCCGGGATGCTGGTTAAACGGTTCCCGGACAGGTCCAGCCAGGTGAGGCTGCTGTTGTCAGAAAACCACGCCGCGTCCGCGCTCTCCAAACGGTTGTTCTTCACGATCAGGCTCTGGAGCGAGCTGCGGCTGAAGACTTTAGGAGGCAGGTGCAGCAGCTGGTTTCCTGTGAGGTCCAACGTGTTCAGGTGGGGCACGCCGACCAGCAGCTCAGAGGAAAGGTTCACCAGGTTGGAGCGGTAGATCTGCAGCTCGCTCAGAAGGGGCACGGCCCGCAGCTGAGCGGCCGTCAGGCTGCTGATGTTGGCGTTCTGAACGGACAGCACCGTGGTGTTGGGCGGTAAAGCAGCTGCAGGGAAACCGCTGAGGCCTCTCCGGCTGCACACCACCTCAGCACCTGCAGGCGTGACACGGCAGAAGCACAGAGTCGGACACGACAGAGCGCTTCTCCTCCTGTAATCAAACTCAGCCAGGGCTGTGAAAGTGAGGAGCAGCAGCAGCTTCATCCTTGCATCTGAGGAGAATAATAAAAAAATAAAAAACAGGACAAATAATAGACATGACTCACAGATAATAACACTTAATTGTAAGAATGGTGAGCATAACTGTTCCTACCTGAAAGGCACAGCAGAGTCACTTGTTTGTGACGGGAGTGAAGAGCAAATTTCAATGAGTCAGGATGAAATGTTGCAAGAGGCAAACAGAACTGAGCAAATAAAGCTGCTTTCTTTACTTGCTGAGTTTATACCACACATAAATCAATCTCCTTTTTTTTCTGGCAGAAAGTTTAAGTGAAAATAATGAACTGAAACAACTATTTCTATAACTCAAGAGAGAATTACAAACACTTCAGGCAATGATTCAGATGTTTTATTATTAAACAAAAACTGATAATGGTACTCCATTTAAAGAAACATCAACTTTTCACGAAAATAATCAAAGGAAATTATTAACTGTTGAAGGCAGCTCAAATTCAAGATGGCCGCCACAGCACTGCACTCTTAGCAAACACAAAAACTGCTCAGCTAATTTTACAGATACTGGGCTGAGGTTCGGTGGGATATAGCAGCTGAGGGTCATTCAAAGTGTTAACACAACAAGGTTATTATTGTTGTGGTTTAAATGAGAGCGTAAACATCCTGTTGAGGTGCTGCTCCCATCACAGGCTGCAGATTTGATTCATTTGTAATTTAACCACGACGCACATTCACACAGGAGAGATCAACAAATACCTGTAAAAAAAAAAGTGATTTTTAGCATCTTGGCAACACGATGAACCATTACATAATGTGTGATAAGAGCCGTGTGGCTTTAGGAGGTTCTGAAAGATTTGTTTCAGTCAAACCCACTCGTTCCACATGCAGCTGTGAGATACAGAGACAGAAATATTCTAACACACACACACACACACACACACACACACACACACACACACACACACACACACACACAC